CAGAGATTTGCTCCGCCTCCTTTTAATATTATTTTATTTAATTTCTTCCACAAAGTGGCCCTAATACACCGTCATAAGAATTGGCACTGAAGCTTGTTTCGTTAGAGGATTTTTCAGCTCAGAAAACTTTAATTCACCTTAAAAAATGTATTTTTTAGGCAAACAAGCTGAAGCGACTGCAGCAGAGATTCAAACTTGTTCTGATGTTGAAGCTGGTTTGCTGTTAATTAGCACACAGAAGGAAAACGAGGCAGAATATTTGAAGAAAAATTAGTAATTATTAACAAATCTGAAGAATATTTTCATAAGAATATTAACTCTAATATAAAAAGACTTCCTACAGAACAGCAGACTGTCCCTKTAGTCCTGCAGACTCCTGAACCTGAAGACCCGCAGCTCTGCCGCTCGTTTCCAACAGACTTCATGTTTTTGTAAATCCTTCCAGTTTTCCTCAAAAAGAAAAGGTTTTTTATGTGTTTTTGTTGTTGTGAAGACGTGTCTGTGCTCCGGGATGTTTCTGTGAATTAAATGTACTGCTGCTCGAATCAATCACACAACCCGACTCACTCGGACCACTTCCTCCTGGAAACGGAGAAGTCCAGATGTTCGGATGATGTTTGCCTCGTAGCTGATCCTGTTTGAACATCAGGCCTTTGATTTTCTGTCACGTTTTAAAAAACAGAGACTCTGGCAGGTGATTGGTTGTTTGGTTCTTCCTGTTGTCAGASTTCTGCAGGTTTGTGTGTGTGTGCGCCCCACAGATTGTACTGTTGTGTACAGGTGTGTAGACACACCTTTGTGTTGTTTCTACAGATTGTTTTTCATTGTTCATTGTTGATTCAGTGAGCCCGATGCTTTAAGTTGTGTAAAAAGATTGTGTGTGTGTGTGTGTGTGTGTGTGTGTGTGTGTGTGTGGCAATAAAAGTAAAGGCAAACATCTCAGTGACTTGTTTCCTGTCTGGAGAACACTAGAGGGCGCTGTTGTCCGTCTGCAGCAGGTTCAGTTGAACGAGCTCCACTTCGCAGCTAAAACAAAAGTTCAGATTATCTGGATGTTTACAGCTGAAATCTTTTAACTTAAATCTGCTGAAGAAGCTGAGAAGATTTAATAACAAAAGTATTAATTAGTTCAGTTTGAACAGCTTGACTTTTACTGAAAGTAGAAATCAAAAAGGAAACGTTGGTAGAAAAAYAGCARAAAATGTGTTTTTAAAGCTAAAGTTGGCAGAAAATAGTAAAAATGAGAAAAAAAGTTGCAAGAAGTTGAATTTACAAAGTTTAAAAAGAATAAAACTGGAGAAGAGAGTAAAACAAGCAGACAGTGATTATCTTTAACAAAAATCTGGAGCTTTTATTTTGTAACTTTGATAAAAGTTATCCGTGAAAATAATTCTCATTATTGAGATGATCTGTTTTTCTTCCACATGAYTTCAGCACATAACTGCTTCTGCTGTTTTTGTTCCATTTCTATCATTTATGCATCAAAACGTTCAGCTCCTTCAGGACATTCAGACTATAACTTTTTATATTTCAGCAATTTATCATTTTTGTGATATTTAACTTTGTCGTTTATTTTTCATTAAAATGGAGTTATCGTCACCATCCTGAAAACTTCATGTTTACAGATCTTTAGTCTCTTTTTTTTACCTTTTCTTTTGCCTTTTTACCTTTGTGCTAATTTCAGCTTCATTTATTTTCTTTTATTAGTTTTTTTCATCTATTCTGCTAATTTCAGCTTC